ACAACTGTGCGAGGAACCTCATTTTAATTTCATCAATAATTATTGATGTATTAATTTATGAGGATATGAATTCAATTAAAAGTTTGCTGGGTTTGTTATATAATATCTTGTTTAATGTTGTGATGCGAAACTTATTTTCAGTCGTTTCAAAATGCAGGTATACGTGCATAAAAAATCATTCTTTATTTTTTTTAGCTGTTTTATATACTACTATTTACATTACTTTCATCTAATATTATGAACCTGAATATTAGCCTGCTATATTCTAGTAGCAGCTTACAAAATTGTATTTTTGTTTCATATCATGAATTGTATAAATCAGTAGCATATATAATGTCCATTATATATCATGGCAATAGGGGGCAGTGCAGCCTGTTAAATGTTTTCTTCATTCAGCAGAATATGATTCATGCGTGCATAAAATCTAATTTTCATAACTGCATATGCTAAATTACATGAAAATACAAACTGGCGTGATTATGCCGATAGATAGGAATTCTTAATGACCTATGAAGAAAATAGACGGCAGCTATGACAACCAATAAACCTCTTAAATCGAGAGCAAATGAAACATTTTAATCGTTTAAGGGAGGTTTGAGTCACACGTGTGGACAGTCGACACGCGCTGAATTATTCTGGTCGCCTTGGAGACCCGGACGCGCGGGGGATTCTGGGAAGTGGAGTTTCAAGGCAGATAAATAAAGACGCATCAAAGGGGGCAGAGAAGATGGTGCTTTCCACAAATAAGGAACTCTTTAGTTTCATGACATTAGAGGCACAAATATTAAGATGTTTAGGCCATATTTTGGAACCTATTCAGGAAAAGTGAGCATCCAAATACACAATATACATACTCAAAAACACAGACACTGCCTTAGAATACACAGTGATCATATTTGGGAGAAAAAGCATAAAAATTAGACATTTGCAGGTATGTCATATACAGTACCGTTTAAAATATTGGGTTGGAAAGATTGTTGTTAACAAGTCTTTTATGCTTACTAAGGCTACATTTATTTGATCAAAAATACAGCAAAAATGTGAAATCATATTACCTTTTAAAATAACTGTTTTCTATGTAAATATATTGTCAAATGTAATGTATTTCTGTGATACGCAGCTGAATTTTCAGCATCATTCCTCCAGTCTTCAGTGTCACATGATCTTCAGAAATCTTTCTGTTTTTTTCCCCGTTTATTATCAATGCTTCATATTTTTATGGAAACCGTAACATATCAGAATCATTTGATGAATAAAAAGTTCAAAAGAACAGCATTTATTTGAAATATAAATCTTTTGTAACAAGTCTTTACTGCCACTTTTGATTAAGTTAATGCGCCCTAAATGAACGGTATTTATTTCTTTTCTTTTCTTTTTTACTGTCTGATTCCAAGCTTTTGAACAGTATAGGCTTTTTTTGTACACCAAAAGGTATATTTTACTCCTAACTACCACAAAAAGTTCCCTGGACAGTCTAAAATCTGTCAGATATACAGCATCCAGACATTCCCTCTGCAAATGACTCAAAAAGTGCTTTATTATATTTATGCCCTGGTGATATCACCATTGTGGCACAGCAGAAAGCGCACAAGTGTGGCAGAAAGAGTCTGCTCAATGATTCCTGCGACTCTCATCCTCTTGACGGATCAGTCCTCATTATAGCCCGAATAAACACGGAAAGCTCTCTCTAGAGCAGATCTGAGAGCATCACCGTCAGTCTGAACAGCATTTACTCTAAACTGTTTAATCTTCGTCAATCTACAAGGCAAGGGAATAAAGCTTTGACAGAGTTTCACCTGTAGCTGAAACACCTGATATCCTGCAGCCCAGTCCATCCACTGTTTGAATCAGCTAGTGTTTGGGTGATTTTTAGTGGCTACATGAAATCTGTACTCAGTCCATGCAGGTGTCACTCTCAGAACAAAAGGTCCAAAAGCTGTCAGTAGGGCAGTACCTTTTCAAAAAGTACACCTTTGTACCTTATTTACCCCTCAAGAGTGCATTTTAGTACCTTAAATGTACATACTTGTACCTACAGTGTTCATATTAGTACATAAATGGTACATATTAGTAACTTTTAAGAAAAGGCACCACACCAACTTTTGTACCTTTTTATCCGAGAGTGCATAGAGGATCACATTACATCTTAGCATTCAGAAAGCGCACAAGTGTGACAGAAAGAGTCTGCTCAATGATTCCTGCGACTCTCATCCTCTTGACGGATCAGTCCTCATTATAGAGCAGATCTGAGAGCATCACCGTCAGTCTGAACAGCATTTACTCTAAACTGTTTAATCTTCGTCAATCTACAAGGCAAGGGAATAAAGCTTTGACAGAGTTTCACCTGTAGCTGAAACACCTGATATCCTGCAGCCCAGTCCATCCACTGTTTGAATCAGCTAGTGTTTGGGTGATTTTTAGTGGCTACATGAAATCTGTACTCAGTCCATGCAGGTGTCACTCTCAGAACAAAAGGTCCAAAAGCTGTCAGTAGGGCAGTACCTTTTCAAAAAGTACACCTTTGTACCTTATTTACCCCTCAAGAGTGCATTTTAGTACCTTAAATGTACATACTTGTACCTACAGTGTTCATATTAGTACATAAATGGTACATATTAGTAACTTTTAAGAAAAGGCACCACACCAACTTTTGTACCTTTTTATCCGAGAGTGCATAGAGGATCACATTACATCTTAGCATTTCAAACTTCTTTTTGCCAACGTTTGCTTGTGAAGTGTTTGTGCATCTTTGTTTGCAATAAATGACACTTGCTTTGTTGTTTTGCCTCTAATGCAATGACATTTTTCAGAGTGACTCCTACTGTAAAAAGTATGCATGTTCACATGTGTATGCTCTTACCATGTCCAATTCACTTTGATAGGTTCATCTTCAAAGATGATCCAAATATTAAGTGAGTTGGATCGACATCTTACCTTTGTACGATCTCTCTTGGATGGATATCCTCAGCACTGCATCAGATGGCTGTTTTATTAAGAGCAAATAATGCCGAATATCACTTGAACTCACGAGCAATGATTAAACAGAAGCGGATTTTGGGATTGGGGGCTCAAAACACATGCATAAACTTTGAGTCACACAGACTGTAGTAACCGCGCACACACACACATCATGAATTAAGGCAACTGTTGGTGGTCCACCAGGCACAGTATGAATGTCACCCACAAGACTAATGGAAGTGTCTCCCATACACACACACACTGCAGCAAAACACAAGACAAATCACATCAAAAGCTATACTGCACGAGGCCTGCAACCACTGCAGATGATCGATTATTAAACTTCTTCATCGGTTTCCCTCTCAGAGCTGTAATTCATCCCGATAAGTGAGCTGTTTTGCTTTTGTTTTCCGAGCACAGTCTCCATGCACACTGCAAATTGGAGCGTTTACTACATTTGGTATCTCATTGGCCTCTGCCAAGGACAGAAAACATTGTGTTTAACTTTGGTCTCAAAGAACTCCCTGATTCACTCCAGCTTGGGTCATATTTTTAATGATGAATACACCCCCCACTCACAGAAGGCTGAAGTGCTCCGCCAGTCTGACGGCTGTGTGTTTTGAGGGCTAGTTTGTCGGGGATTGGCTTTCACACACACAGGCTGAAAGGGTTACTGTTCAATCTATTCTGCGCTCGCCAGAGTGCGCGGCCGAGTGGCGCCGGCGCGTCACACACACACACACACACACACACACACACACACACACACTCTCTCTCTCAGTCTCCTCCAAAAAGCTCTAGACATCATCAAGAAACAGAGCTGACAACTGCCCCCACCCTGCGCCAAAACACAGCACCAGCAGTGTGTATCGGTCACAATAACCTCGGCAATAACACGCACACACATGCGCTTTCGCTCCGCTGCGATCCGCGTAATGACAGGCGCGATTGACGCGCGTCTGCGGACTGTGAAGTCACGTTTTTACGAGTCTCGCATCTCTCGCACTCGCAGACAGCATGTTTGCGGACTAATTAACAGTCTGGTACCGTCAGCATCAGTTCACAGGCATTGTAGAGGGTTGCAGTGTTTCTCACGCCGAGACTTTTGGACAAGAATCGGGCTCAGATTTCTGTCTCTCAGACCCCCCCTCCCCCCGTTCCCTTTCCCTTTCCAGAAGCAGTACGCCAGGAGCTGCTGGCTCTCCCTGCTCTATTTCACCAATGACAGTGTTTGAAACTGGCTGCATCATATTTTAGCGCTGTGTTAACATCGGCGCGCTTTTACGCACGACGTTTCCAAGCGCTCCCCGTAGAGTATTTGCACAGCATAAGCACGCAGAAGGGCCTAGATCTCATTCAGAAAGAGCACAACATGTTCAGCACGCACGCATCTGCATTCATTCTGCAACACAGGCATCATTCAGCGTTCTTAACCTAAAGAAACCAAGAACATCTGACATAGGACATATTTCTCGGATCCTTCGGTCCAAGTTTAACAGATTTTATTGCTAAAACCATGGCATTTACACGGACATGTTTATTATTAATATTAATATTCTCTTAAATTCATTTTTAGAACTTTTCAAGTAGAATTTCTGGTATATTCTATTCTCTTCTCTTTATCTATACTCACAACCGTTAAAACAATAAATAAAACATACGCATTTTTTTTTTTACTAAAATACTATATGATTTCCAAAAGAAAAAAAGCTGAGTTCACGAGTATAACTTCCAGCCCAGCCTTTTTTTAAATCATCATCATCATTATTGATATTAATATCTGTACAAAACCTCTAGGCAGTGTTCTTCAGTCTCTATAAATAGAGTCCGAATGAGGAAAGTGAACTTCTCTCTTGCGTCTTGGCAATAATTTCATAAAAAATAACCACGAGCCGAAAGTGCTCCTCGTGAGAATATGGTCCTGATCCTTTAACAAAAAATAGCTGCATTCTTCTTCGTCTTCTCACTTAAATATGTACATATGCTGTCATATATTTTGAATTAAAAAGCTATATATATATATATATATATATATCTATATATGTATATGTATACAAAAATAGATTCGCTATGTGGCGCCACACGTCCCTGTCCGTGAGTAAACAGTGCAATCATTCATAATCGATAAACCCTCTCTCTCGCGCGCGCGCTGCTCAGCAGGAGCACTTGCACTCGGAGATGATAGGGTACTGCACCGGTATCCACGTGCAGTACTTCTGCCGCAGGAAGCCCTGGCAGTACCACCGCAGGAAGGTCTTGGTCACCGACTTGACCGGCTTGCAGGACATGCCCTCGGGGAAGGAGCACGAGTGCTCGCTGAAGCAGTTCCCCTCCTTGATGTAGCGCGGCCAGAAACGCGCTCCTAGGTCCTTCCAAGTGTACAGCACCGGGCAGTGCGTGTACATCCACAGCCACTGCAGGAACTTCCGCCGCGCCTTCTTGCCCACCTTGACGCGCCTGCCGTACGGCGTCTCCGTCAGGTTCAGCTTCTTGAGGTCGGCGGGCATGGGCAGGTGCGGCAGGTCCGGCGGCGCGCTGGCGTTCAGCTGCGTGGGCAGGTGGATGGACATGAAGCTGGGGTCGAAGTTGCTGCCTAGCTTCTTGCGCAGCGTCTTCTCCGAGATTCGCTATGTGGCGCCACACGTCTCTGTCCGTGGGTAAACAGTGCAATCATTCCCAATCGATAGCCCCCCTCTCTCTCTGCTCAGCAGGAGCACTTGCACTCGGAGATGATGGGGTACTGCACTGATATCCACGTGCAGTACTTCTGCCGCAGGAAGCCCTGGCAGTACCACCGCAGGAGGGTCTTGGTCACCGACTTGACCGGCTTGCAGGACATGCCCTCGGGGAAGGAGCACGAGCGCTCGCTGAAGCAGTTACCCTCCTTGATGTAGCGCGGCCAGAAACGCGCGCCCAGGTCCTTCCAGGTGTACAGCACCGGACAGTGCGTGTACATCCACAGCCACTGCAGAAACTTCCGCCGCGCCTTCTTGCCCACCTTGACGCGCCTGCCGTACGGCGTCTCCGTCAGGTTCAGCTTCTTGAGGTCGGCGGGCATGGGCAGGCGCGGCAGCTCCGGAAGCGCGCTGGCGTTTAGCTGCGTGGGCAGGTGGATGGACATGAAGCTGGGGTCGAAGTTGCTGCCTAGCTTCTTGCGCAGCGTCTTCTCCGAGAGGTCCTGCTCGCGCGGATCGTGCTCCGGATCGGGGTCCTCTTTGAGGTCGGGGACCGGCAGATGCTCGCTGGGCGAGGGCCTCAGGCGCAGGTTGTGCTGGGCCGCGGCGCCTTGCGCGCACAGGAGCAGCAGTAGCAGCGGCAAAGCGCGGGTGATGCTGCCCATGACTCGTCTTCTGTCTGTCTGCGGAGTGGAGTTGGCCTTCACACACCCGCGCATAAATAGCGAGATCTTTTAATAGACGGCCGCGTGGCCCGGAATGACATGGGACATGGGCTGTCTGTTTTCAGGGATACTCGCTCAGCTGAGGCGTGCCAAGTGCGCTGCAAAACTTTATCCTCATCGGACTTTTCGGCGGGTCACCATGGCAACGGGATAGGATGGTATGGCACGGTTTCCAAAGCCTGCTCGGATTCTGTCAAACACCCAAACTGGCGTTTGAAATGTCAGCGCGCCCGCGGAATGGAGCGCGTCTTAGCCAATGTTATTTTTACGCACTCCTCTCTCTCTGAGCGCACAGGCTCCAGTGCGTCCCGCCGAACCGGCGCTGCTGAACCGGGACGAGAGCCGCTCAGTCTCTCCACAGACCCTGCAGAACTCCGCGATCGGAACCTCAAACGCGTCTAGAACATGTTCGGGTTCAGTCCGGAATAAAATCAGGCTCCTCTACACGTTTGCGCCAAGCGTTCCCGCTAAAGTCTGCTGCATGTTCTCCAGCCGCGGTGCGTTCATATCCCCGCTGTGTCTGAAATCCTCCTCCACAGAGCCGTCCGAAAAACTCGCCTGGTCCTGATCTGGGACAGAGGAGAATGAGCGCTTTTGGAGGAGAACTCCTCTCTTTCCCAAGTTAAATATCCCCACCCCTTCCCTCCTCCCCCGTCGCCCCATTAGTGCGCGTGTGCGCACCCAGCTCACCAAGAACCCTCAGTCTGACTGACAGCAGAACACACACTCACACATACAATGAGACCCCCCTCCCAACACACACATCCCACCACAACAGCTCTAGATTTATCACAGGCTGCTACAGAACAGCAACCAGAAAACACACATTTGGGATTTTCCATATCTTGCACATTCCGTGACACTTACCCACCTATTATGAACGGTTACATCGTCTTGCATAAATAATGTTCAAGTGGAAACCTTATAATTCATTCATACCACATTCAAATTACACTCTTTTCTGGATGCATCAGTCATCTGGGGCTTTTGGACATATTGGCACATGATACATATTGTGCATTTTAATGAATAATCATTTGAATGCTTTTCTTTCCCCCAATAAAGCCATTTTTTAGTAGTCTGACATGAGCTGAGCCACACACACAAACACACACACACACACACACAGGCAACATCACTTTTCCCAAGGAAAAAGAAAAACAAAGTGAAGTGCTTAGGAATCCAATAATTGGTCCATTAAAGCGCCTCTGGTTTGTGTGGAGGTTTGTGGATTCGGCTTCGACCTTTGCTCTTGCCACTGGCAGGAACCAATGCACGTGAACTCTCAGGGTCACCAAATAAACGGCCACAATTAAGTGTTTAAACGGGCCACATATAGAGACGTGTCACCTCTCACGGTGCCAGAACTCGAGCTCGAAGTGCAGCCTGATGTTCCAACGGCATGCCCAAATTCTGCCCTCCATCGCTATCGCTCACAGGTGATCTCTGAAAGAGCCGAGGTGAACTTTTACAACCCAAATTTAATTGCGCATTCAAAATGCACATGTAAAACTTTCACGTCATTAACAATAACATATGAGCGGTCAAAATATTTGCACGTGCATGAATTCATCTTTTGAGTTCTATTCAATAATGCACAAAAGATGCAGTAATATTTGTTCATATTATTAATGAGCGTGTTATTTTAAGCATCTCTCTCTGTTCTCAAGCTGTTTGTGGTGGATTGCAGAGGCTGGAGGGATATCCCTCTGTGAGCTGTGGGCTTCATGACACGAGGAGTGTGAGGCATGTAAAGCAGGGCCCCAGCAGTCTGTGGTTCGGTGGCAGACTGTCTGGCTGCGGTTCTGTGGTTCTGCGGTTCAGCTGCTGGTGTCACGCCACATTTTGACCGCTAGAGAGCGCGAGCGAGCGCGGCTCACTGACGCTGCGCAGGAACTCTCTCAAACACATCATCAGCTCACGTTCATTCAGACCGCTAGAGACGTATTCAAATTTCAACGCATGAGCTTCTGATGTTATGCAGTAGGATATATCATTTTAAACAATGACCTGATAATAAATGTTATTATTATTAAAGTGTCACAAACAATGTAAACATTTGGTTAAAAAAATAGTCTATTATGCCTCAACTGCATCCGTTTTAATCGATCGATCGATAGATGGACAGATGGATAGATAGATAGATAGATAGATAGATACTTTAAAAGAACGTCTAAACGTTTCAGGACAAAATGTTCAATGAATGTATAAATAATGCTTTTGTGCTAACATTTTGAGAACATTAGGCCATTTTAAAAATAAGAGAACTTTAAACAAACATTCTATTAATGTCACTGGAAGAACGTTAGTTCATATGTTTTAAAGAACGTTAGCGTTCTGAGAACATTCCCAGACAGACAGACATGCAACGTCCCTCATCTGCTGAATGAGTAGGCTACATATAAATGTATGTGTAATAAGAATATTTCTGCATTTTCGCTCATTCGATGCTCAAAGTGACACAGTTGTTTGATCAGAGTAAACAGAGCGCTCTTATTTCGCTCCGCGTCTCTCTGGCTCTACTGCGTCTCTAACTGAAAGCAGATGCTGGAAGCAGCATTGAGAAATGCGCTGCCTGTTTGAAGATTTCCTCTTTATTCTTTCACTGTACGCCTTGTAAACAGCATCAAATTGGCGAATCTCTCTGGCGACAGCGACGGAGAGCGTTTGATATAAGCTTGCGTTTGTCCCGTGAGGTGATGTCACACCTTACGTTCAGCATACGGGCGAAACAGCGTTTGATTGACAGCGCAGACTGTGAGGGTTTTCAGTGACACAGCATGGGGACGCTTCCCTCTAAATGTGTGTGCGCGCGACTGAACGCACAGCTCCAATGCACCGCTCTTCTATTCAGGCCTACCGTGTGGCACAGAAAGGGGAGCAGAGGATACAGGAAGAAAAGAAAAGTGGAAGAGGGGGTGGGCTGGAGGTCAATAATGATCTCTCGGCCTCGTTTAATTGGTGTGTGTGTGACTTCACTGCATTCCAGCTTGATTACCCTCATTCATGTTGCTTAAAATTAAAATGAATGCGAGAAATATCCTGCTGGGACGGAGCGGGGAAAAGGAAGAGACCCAGGGAGAGGGCATTCCCAGCTCGAGGGGGGCGGGATGACATCACATTCCTGGAGCCCGGTTCCTAATAACCGCAAGATATTGCTGTAATTCGGTCCGTCTCGGACGTCCAGTGTGGACGGTTGAGGTTGAGCTCTGTTTACGTGCAACCAAAGAATCCGATCGGATCGAAAGGCCTTCTTGTAAACACCTCAATTGAACTTGGGGTGCGATTCCCAAACCCTAAACCCAACCATTCCCAAAGTTCCCACGAACATTCACAAACAGCATCGCAAACTTGTGGTTAGAAGCATAGTTTCTTGTTAGTATGACGTGGACTTGCTTTGCTTTTGGACTCAGCAAGCATGCTAACATGCAGTACATTCTATATCTTTCATTCCAGTTCAATAGCCAATATATATATATTTTAGTCGATATTTTAGCATGTCAACAATCAGAGCTGTTTTTGATACGAGGGGGGCGGGATGACATCACATTCCTGGAGCCCGGTTCCTAATAACCGCAAGATATTGCTGTAATTCGGTCCGTCTCAGAGGTCCAGTGTGGACGGTTGAGGTTGAGCTCTGTTTACGTGCAACCAAAGAATCCGATCGGATCGAAAGGCCTTCTTGTAAACACCTCAATTGAACTTGGGGTGCGATTCCCAAACCCTAAACCCAACCATTCCCAAAGTTCCCACGAACATTCACAAACAGCATCGCAAACTTGTGGTTAGAAGCATAGTTTCTTGTTAGTATGACGTGGACTTGCTTTGCTTTTGGACTCAGCAAGCATGCTAACATGCAGTACATTCTATATCTTTCATTCCAGTTCAATAGCCAATATATATATATTTTAGTCGATATTTTAGCATGTCAACAATCAGAGCTGTTTTTGATGAGTTATTACTCCATCATCTGCGCATGATGTAATGCACTACAAGTCCTATTGTTCAGCCGACTGAAAGCATGTCCGTTGCGGGAAACAGTTGCAACTAGCTAGTTAATGATGGATTAATTATGGTAGTTAAGCAGGAAACAAACCCCTGATTGAGCTAGATCCAAATGAAAAAAGCAAGACGCTTCAAATTCAGCTAGGATGCTTTCAATTTTTAAATGAATCAAAAGTGACCGTAAAAGCATTTATAATGCTACAAAAGATTCTTAATTGAACTTGAATCCCAAACAAAATCGATCATGTTTTCCACCAAAATATGAAGCAGCACAACTGTTTCCTCAACACTGATAATAATCAGAAATGTTTCTCAAGCAGCAAATCAGCAAGATCACGTGACACTGAAGACTGGAGTAATGATGCTGAAAATACAGCTTTGATCACAGAAATAAATTACATTTTACTATATATTCACATAGAAAACAGTTATTTTCAATTGTAATACTTTTTCACAATATTACTGCTTTTACTGCACTTTTGATCAAATAAATGCAGCCTTGGTGAGCAGAAGAGACTCAGAAACATTAACAAATCTTACCAACACCAAACTACTGTTTGAACAGTAGTATCTACATATTGTTTTTTATACTCGCAGTCAATGACTTTCAGTAGTTTTGCATTGCTTACCATTGTTTTTGACTGGATTAGGTTTGCTCATGGCTTCAAACTCGACTGAAAAGAATCCGATCGGATCGAAAGGCCTTCTTGTAAACACCTCAATTGAACTTGGGGTGCGATTCCCAAACCCTAAACCCAACCATTCCCAAAGTTCCCACGAACATTCACAAACAGCATCGCAAACTTGTGGTTAGAAGCATAGTTTCTTGTTAGTATGACGTGGACTTGCTTTGCTTTTGGACTCAGCAAGCATGCTAACATGCAGTACATTCTATATCTTTCATTCCAGTTCAATAGCCAATATATATATATTTTAGTCTATATTTTAGCATGTCAACAATCAGAGCTGTTTTTGATGAGTTATTACTCCATCATCTGCGCATGATGTAATGCACTACAAGTCCTATTGTTCAGCCGACTGAAAGCATGTCCGTTGCGGGAAACAGTTGCAACTAGCTAGTTAATGATGGATTAATTATGGTAGTTAAGCAGGAAACAAACCCCTGATTGAGCTAGATCCAAATGAAAAAAGCAAGACGCTTCAAATTCAGCTAGGATGCTTTCAATTTTTAAATGAATCAAAAGTGACCGTAAAAGCATTTATAATGCTACAAAAGATTCTTAATTGAACTTGAATCCCAAACAAAATCGATCATGTTTTCCACCAAAATATGAAGCAGCACAACTGTTTCCTCAACACTGATAATAATCAGAAATGTTTCTCAAGCAGCAAATCAGCAAGATCACGTGACACTGAAGACTGGAGTAATGATGCTGAAAATACAGCTTTGATCACAGAAATAAATTACATTTTACTATATATTCACATAGAAAACAGTTATTTTCAATTGTAATACTTTTTCACAATATTACTGTTTTTACTGCACTTTTGATCAAATAAATGCAGCCTTGGTGAGCAGAAGAGACTCAGAAACATTAACAA